AAAAAAAAAAAAAAAAACCACAAAGGGCAAAGCTTATGGATCTAACCTATTTACTTCTTCTGGGCACTTGGCTTATATAGCAGACTTGGTTGTGTGTGTGGTTTTTTTGGCAGATGTGGCTCTTCCTAACTGGAGCCATGTCTGCCATGGGTTTTAGTAGTGAATGGTGAGCATTTCAAATGAGCAGCCTCCCTTTATAATCTTGGAAATCCAGGCCTTGCTCTTGACTCCTGTGATCCCATTAGGGTTGGCAGCAAATTCCTTGGTGACTGGGTCACCAGGAAAGCCTCTGTGGCCACCAGACTCCGGAGCACTTGCCGGCATCTCGGGTGCCTGCTGGCCCATGCGTGAAGTTGCCATTGCCAAGGAAAGCAGCAGGACAATTTGACCTTTGCTTTTGGACCAGGCACCCTTCTGGCTAAGAGGGGTGAAATGCCAGCAAGTCTTCTTATCAGGGAAAAKAGAGCAAGCATAAACACACCTTCCCTACAGCTTCCTGTGGTCTAGAATATAGACTTGGTCTGCTGCGGAAAGGAGGTGTTTTCCACTGCCTGACCTTGAGACCTCCCCAGGGCTTTAGATAGTGTATCTGCGGGTGGAGTGTTTTAGTGAGGAGGAAAAAGTACATGGAATAGAATGGCCTTGAGTCTTTTGTATTGAACGTGTTGTGCATCTAGTCCAGGTCCTGCCAGACAGTTCAAGAACCAGAGCATTTCCTCAGCACTTGCTGGCTCTAGGTATAGCATATGTATCTCCCTGTGCATCCCACTGCGCTCRGGAACAGTGCTGTTCTGGAGTGGTATGTTGGATAAGGGTGGCCAGAGCCAACTGGGTGCTGCCTGTGGAGATGCCTAACGCTAGGATTGGGAAATGTTGGAGCCGATGGCGCTGTCATCTGCTCTGGGCTTGGGCTAATTGGCCACAGGCCATTAGCAGGGTGGTAATTCAGACATTTCTGCATGGATCTTTCTTGAGCAAATGGCCCAGAGCCAGCCCTGCCTAGGTGGGCCCTGAGATGGGCTCAGGGGAGGCTGGCGTAGCTGGAACTGTAGAGGAGGCTGCCCTGCACCTTCAGGTTGGCCTTGCCCTAGTTTGTGTGTGGCTGTGTTGATTGCAYTTAGTTTAGCAATCCTCCCCCCAGCATGAGCAACGTGCCTTTGGCTGCTGTAGGCTGAGCTGGGGACCTCGGGTTCATAAATCAGTTTGGTATCTTGAGGTCCCTGCCTCATAAACCGCTTGCCGRCAACATCCCAATGTGACCCAGTATTAAGGATATTTGTCACTACTCACTGTTTATCCTGACTCTTYAATCCTTAGGCTTTCACCCTACATCAAACAGTGGTATCTTTTGTGCTCCTGCCATCACAAATGGGGACGTGGTTGGAGTTGACTCTGGCTTGAGTGTCTTCATCATGGCAAAATTAAAGTCGGCTACCACCTTACRTAGCGTGACCTATGGCCTATGCACATATGAGAAGTAAGCTCATTAAAAGTTTCTGCAATCTTAAAAGGAAGCTGCTTTGCTTAGAGAGCTGCTCATAGTGCTAGAAACCATGGAAGCAATTTGAAATGAACTGCGTTCATATTTTTATTAGCACCGAAAAAAGATACTTCTGCCTTTTTAATTATTTTAAGACAAGAAAAGACAATTAGCAGCTGTTGTATTTGACCTTAAGTGGGGCAAACCAAAGAAATGCACTTAATGCTGATTTTTGGCYTGAGGCCTGTAATTAGTGCCATCTTCTATGCACTGTGCTTTTTGTTCARTCTGCTTGTGATTTCAATTTTGTGCCACTTTCAGAATGGCTTATCTTGGTTATTTCTTATCGATTTGCTTTCTCCTACTGAAATTACAATGAACTTTAAATTAGATTGACCCTATATGCGTAAGGATTCTTAAAATGCTTGAATTTATGTGGAGACTTGATTTGCATGCTATTTGAAGTAAAATGCTTGGATCTGGCAATTGCGAATTACCAGGATTTTAGGGGATGCTTTCTTCCGAAAATTTAATCAAACTGTTTTATAGTAGCAATTATGTGTGAGTTATTATATAGTCTTCTAATTAAGTCACTCCCCTCTCTATTAAACAAGCAGAAAGGGAGCACATGAAGGAGAAGAGAGCGGCTTGCAGCTTGCAAAGGTGGTGTTCAAAGATGGCTAAAATTGCTTTTGCAAGGTATTTCCTTTAGTGTTCGCTGGATCACATGGTCCAAGTGGTTGAAAAAATGTCCAGAATCAATTATGTCTATTACATAAGTGCACCGCGCCCTGTGAAACCTGCCTTAATGAGTAAACAGTGACTCAGAAATCACAGACGTCGTTTGAAGATGTAATATCTGAGGGTGGGATTTGTTTTGTCTTACTCAGGTTCTTAAAAACTCTGGAGCTCTGAGCCACTCGGGGATACTTTTGGACTTGTGTTTTGCTTCTAAATGATCCCTGCTTCCTGCAGGGCTGGGAGGGTTTTAGATGTGCTTGATCTCTCACAGCACGTGCGGACTGTGCAAAAACTCAAGTCTCCCCACATTTCTGCCTCTGCTTGGTTTAAAAACCCGCTTTAAAATGGAGCGTTTCCTTTCGTGCCCTCAGCAAATTCGTCGTGTTGCACAATTTGGAAAAACGTTTCGGTTTCAAGTATTGGTATTAAGTCGTTCCCTGCAGAACACCTGTTAATTACTTAATTATCAGCTCTGCCTTGGCAGGCAGCACTGGCAGAGCCGCCGGTGGCAGCGCTGGTGCTTTAGCTGAACGTCYGCTCGCCGCGGAGTCTTCACACCAGCAGCTCCCTCTCACAAAATCCTGCCGACTGCCACAAATAACTCAGTCGAGACACATCCTGTATCTCAGTTCTTTTATTTTTCCGTTCCTGTTTATTTTTCTTCCTTTGGCAGGGAGGACACGGTGCTCCTCGGGCCTGCACCCTGCCGCCCGGCACCACCTCCCCACCCGGAGGGCCGGTGCTGAAGGACAGGGGGTTGTCAGCGAGACGCCCTGCTTGTCTGCTTGGGAGTCCCTTCCCAGGGGTGACCTCCCGGGCACGAGYAGCTCCATGTTGTGGAGATGTTTGCCCCCGAGGCCTGTTCGCAGCTGCGGGGACATTCCCGCATGRGGCTGGGCGCATGGGCCTTGCCTGAGGGAAACGTGTGGGCCTAGCGCGGCRCCCGCGCCGAGGGGTCCCCCCACGTCGGGACCCCGCAGGTCACAGGGACCCYTAAAACGAGGCCGAAGGCTGTGAGACTGAAACCCCATCCCCTGCAGGTTGCAGGAAACCTCTAAAATAAGGCTGGCACTCGTATTCTGCCAAGRGCTGTGAGCTTGAAACCCCATCCCAACGCCAGGCATAGTCTGACACGGCTCCCATGGCACAAACCTGTTGCACAGTATGCGGATTTTCGGTTTCTGACCTGTGGAATGAAGGAATTCATTTATGAGCTAACCTAGGGAACACAGATATTTACATTTACCCTTTTAATGCCGTTTTAAAAGGACTGCTTTCCTCAAAATTATCACAAAACATAGCGACTTTGTGCACAAGCTTGGATGCAGAAAACCAGTATTTTATTTGAAGCAGCAGTAATTGTGAGATGCTGTGTTTAAGGGATTTAAGTGAAAATGATATCACAAAGAGATGCAATATCTACTCTTCATCTAACAACAGTCTGTAGTTTATGCAATTTTCTATAGAGACAGTTCACCCAGGGGAATCAGTTCTTTAAATGTCTCTTTTATTTTTTATTTTTTTCACCTGAATGGTAGAATTTTTCRTATCTCAAGTTGATCTGTCATTATTCTTCCTGTTTACTTTTTTTAAGGCATACAATTTTCAACACAAAAGTCTTTGTAATATCTATTTTTTTTCAATAGGGAGATTAGAATTATTTATTTGATTAATTTAAAAATTGTTTAAATTTTAGTATTTCTGGTGCTAATATGCATGCCTCGCACAATTTAGGGGGAAAAGAAAGGTGATAAGTTAACACGTCTCAAGAGCTGCCTCCTGCCTTGCTCTTCTCCCAAGCAAGCACAAACTTCTGTTCATTCCTTTCACCACTAATTTCTGTAATTATCACAGTAACCAGTGACTTTGGGGACRCATGCAGGTTCCCCAGCACATTTAGTAGTGTGCCCTTTACAGCACCAGGCGCAGATTTAACATCACAAGAAGGGGCTCATAACAATGAGGTGGCTGAAGCTGGAGACATCTCAGCTAAGCCTGATGAAATGTGCTGCTTGGAATCAAATATTGGGATAAAMCCCCCTGTTGGACTGTTTGGGAAGTATTTCCCAAGCTACATGTTTTTACACCTTCCAGTTTGGTGGTGGTTGTACTAGAAAACAGCAACAGGTATTCCCTTAGAATTGAGCTGGGGAGCGATCTACAAAGAAGGAAACCATGGGGTGATGTTGAATTTGCCTTTTTCTAAGGCAGAAGGATTTTAAGGTTTTTTTTGTGTATGTTTTTGTTTTGTGMGTGTGTGTCAAATTAACTCCCAATTATTATTTTTATAGACAGTTACTGGGAAAAGCTTTGGAACCAAAGACTTCCGAGCAGCTCTAGAAAATGGAGTCCTGTTGTGTGAGTGAGTATTGTGATCATGGCACTCAGTTATCAATAGATTCACTGTTTCTTTGTGCTTTTTTGTTTGTTATGGCAAGCTACTGTGATGATGGTTCTCTCCATCATGTGATTTAGAGCTATGTATTCTTACAGACCTTTTTATAACCAAGCACTTTATTTCAGAAGTGTATATTACGAAGTTGTAAATTAAAGATGACTTGCATGTTTTCATGTATATGCTGCTTACTAATATCCCCTTTCATACTGAAGCATGAGAGGGGTGGTTTGGTCTTCTGAGGAACTGTGGTTGCATCAAAATATCACAGTTATGTAGACTGTATTGGATGCCATTTAGGGATATGTATAGTCTGTAAAAATAGACATGCTTTTAACAAGCACTTTAAGATGATAAAATTAAACTAACTGGATTTCAGAATGTAGAAGTTCTTATTTGAATGTTCACATCAATGTTGGTGTCAGTTATGGACTGGCCAATTACTAATTTCAATAATTAGAAAATTCTAAAATCCAAATCCTGACTTTTCTAAGAAGCTTCCTCGTGCTTCCATGTTATGGACCTGGCAATAATGGGACTCGCCTGGCTCGGTTGCTGCACTGAGCCGGGGAGAGTTAGTGTCCTCTTGTCAGCTCCTATTGGAGCAAGGTTCCTGGGCTGCCAGCAGCACCCATTCCATAGAGTTTTAAGGAATGGTAGGTATAGATGTCCACTGAATGCCACTAAGAAAAATCTCGTTATAGGACTCCATGGGAAATTAAAAATTCCTTGGAATCTGAGTCATCCCTAGATCTGTAACATTCATCCAAGCTAGAACTTAGAGAAGCTTTTTGAATGGCAGTATATGAGGAAAATGACCAAATTAAATGCAAATAAGYGAGTGTGCTGCGTCCTTCCTCCTGCAGATACTGCTGCCTCTGCTCTGTCTGTTCTGGCCTTGACTYTCCTCCTTGGGCACTTCTCCTTCCAGCCTGTTTTCCCAGAGCTTTTGCACTCACTTTCAGGCACCCATTTGTATACTGGAGTTCTAATAATTAGATGCTGTTGTAGAGATGAAAACTGTATCTTCACCACTGATGTAATCAAATATCAGCCAGAGTGAATGTTGTAATAAAGTAGTTTGTACTTCAAGAAGAGCTACCTTAGGTACGTGCTTAGTGGGATGTGTGTATTATGTTCGGCTGTAACTTTAAAGTATTTTTAAGAATTGGCACTGAACTGCTATTTTCTAATCCTCYGTCTTCACTGTTGACACTTCTTTGGCAAAAGAGGGTGAGCTTCCATCTGCCAAATGCAAATCCGTTAAATTTATATATAATTAACAGCCATATGCAAGAAAAACATCCTGTAATTTCTTCAGCTGAGCAGCTCGCCTTAGGAGGCATACAGCATTCTGTAGGGGAAAAGATGCCTAATTATCTTGCACTAAATCATATAGGTGTCCCCCTGCATTGTTTAAAATTTTGGCATACTTGAGGAAGAAGTGGTTTCCATAGAAATTCCATGGAAACAGCAAAGAGCAAGACGTGGAAGGCTCTCAGATGTCTGATTTTCACCAAAGTAAACAGAACGCAAGCTCTTTCATGGAGACAAACTAGACGCAGCGTTGCTGGCTCCTCTGGTGCAGCTCTCCCGTGGCTCCTTGAGCTTCCAGAGAGAGGGTGCCACTAAAAATGATACCTTGGCCCTAAGCTACAGCAGAGCAGACGTGCACCRTGCTCCTGCGGCAGCCCCACACCGCTGGTACGCTGGGTGACCCAGTGTGCGTGTGCGCTGCTTAGCTCCAAAGGAGCTGACCAAAGACCCTCCGCAGGAGAGTAGATCTGTATGCACAGCAGTAGGAGAAAGCCATTAAAGTTACCCTGGCTGCATGTTATTTCATGTTTTAAAGAACACTAAAGCTTCAAAAAAGAGGCGTTTAGAAGATGAAACACTTTTAAAAATCCCACTCAAAACAGATCACGCTTTATTTTGTGGGAAGGCCATTAGAAGWCTTTTGCTTAGTCAATTATTTGATGCAGTTTAGAAGTCCCAGGACCTGTAGCCATTTGTTCCTTTCCTGCAAGCATTTAAAAGCCATCCTCCAATCCATTTTGTTTGCAGCAACTCTCTTCTTTTTGTTTGTTTTCCAAATAAATGTGCTGTTTGAGCAGAAAAAGTTTCTTTTCCCACATACTGTTTTAAGCTCCAGGTTCTGCCTTAGCCTTGGTGTGGGTAGATCACAAAACCTCCCTGGTGCTTTTTTGGGCAAAGGGTCTGGCCAGACTTGCACCAACAAGATGAGGGAGCAAGGCCAAAATCCACCAAGGTATTTAGGTAGATGGAGTCTCCAGGGTGTCCTGAGGTTCTAGGCCTCTTTTGGTCCTGTGGTCTGTGTGTACTTAAGTGATCCATGGGTTTTTCCCTACCTCCGTGGCTGAAAACCAGAGTGTATAGATGCAAGGAACCCTCTCCAGCTGCATCTTTGCCTCATCTTCATTGCAGGGCGAGATGTGTGTTTGGGCTTGTGTACCTCAGTGGTGATGCAATTGTCCATCTCGTCGTCCTAATTTAATTATGAGTCCTAGATAATGAAGGCTAGCAATAACATAAAGAAAAAGAAATGCTTCTGKCTGAGATGGAAACTGTAACTTGCACATCACGGAACCAAGCAGTTGTTGCACTCATCATATTGGGACTGACAGTGACACAAATTTTTATGCTTATAGGAATTTCAGAACTCGCACACTGAAAACTAGTATTAGGATTTTCTTTTCCTGTATCTGCTACATCAGAACTTTCATCAGGAAAAAAAATCCCAAAAACTTAAAAGTAGGGAATTTGAGTCTGATTTACATTTCCACCCATGCATCTAAAATATGATTCCATTCCTTCCTACAGCTAACCTTGCACTTCTAATTTCTTCCTTTTTTTTATCACCTTGCCATTCTCRGGCACCTTTATTTTTGTGACTTGTCCTACTTTTTGCTTCTGCAATCTGTTGTTGTTTGCTTGTTGMATTTTTGGGAAGCGTTAAAAAATGTATATTACCAATTAAAAATATATATTATTTGGGTTTRCATATTCACATTTTCTTGGCACAAGATACATCAACTAGCAATGTAAGCAAAATATTTCTTAATAAACATTAGYATTTGTGCTCAAAGTTGATTTTATATATATATAGTTGATTATATAACAGAAAATCATATCACTTCCTTTTAGTTTGATTAACAAGATCAAGCCTGGCATCATTAAGAAGATCAATCGCCTATCAACTCCAATAGCTGGCTTGGTAAGTAATGACATGAGACCTAGTATCTGCAGAAAAAAAAAAGTCCTTTTATTTTTAATGAGGAGTCTTTTGTTCTTAGTCTCGCACACAAACCACCCCAGCAATCCTTCTGCTGGGGAATGGGCAGACTAAGGAGCATTCTGTCTAACCGAAGTATTTTGAGAATTTTCCTCTTCCCAACCTCACCAAGCTCAGGTTGCACTGAAGTCCCTCGGATCGTGTGAAGATCTTTAGGCTTCGGTTATGGGATTTCACAATATCTTGGCTGTAAGTCGCACTGTCTGTAAAAGTACAAACAATACACAGGATCACTTCATTTTCACAATAATCTTAAAGGATTTCCTGTGTAGTGTGTTAACAAACTTGACAGTAAGGGACTGTTGGGTAAATTTGGTAGCCATTTGGCATCATAAACAACAGAAAACTCCCCAAATGTTTTTCTCTCCCAGTCTGTGCTCCGAAGGTAGCCCTGTTGGCTGTTCTTGTCCCCTGCGGTCAGAGCTGTTGCTCCCACTTCAAAGGATAGCGGGTGAACAGAGACATAGCTGTGATTTCTTTAAAAAATAAAAGATGCTCTTTGTGGCTAGCATGATGTTGGGGAAAGCTCTTTAACTTGCTCATGCTAGTAAAATGTGAGCACTTACATATTGTAAAGGCCTGAGTTTGGTTTTGCAGGTCAGCTCTATAGCTCTCTAGAGAAGGTGGCATCCTCTTGGTAGTCCGGCTGATGCCTCTGAGAGTGGGTTGACTTGCCACATGTTGGTGCAAACTCAGAATGTGCCTTTCCACATCAAATGACCATGCAATGTGTTGGTCCCCCTTGTCCCAGAGAAGCTCAGGGTCTAGGACTTGGAAATCATGTGGGCTGCACATTCTTTTCCTGTGAAGCATCCATGCAAGGATTCAAATCAAACCATAATAATCCTGGGGAACACAAAACAGTTATTTTATCGTTGCCTGGCCTAAATGGCTTCTGAAATAGCCATTAATCCAAACCAGAAAACCATGGATTAGATCTCAGTCTTGTGGTGGCTTAAGTGTTGTCCTCAATCACAGCTGTGTCAACTCCCAGTTTTACCTTATTTGTTTGTTTTGGATCCAAAACTTTGGAGTATTCCCTAGGTATGTAGTTCATATCTTGCCACTCGTGGTGTGTTATGGTTCCTTCAAGCTGTTTCTAGTTCCTGCAAGCCTGCAAAAATTAAAGAAAGGGGAGGAAGGGGTGAATGAATCCTGTAAACCGAGATTATCCAGTGGTATCATTGATCTTAAAGCACCACTTGAAGATAATCATTGGGAGAGCTGGTGTTTAGTGTAAACTGCTGGAGAAGGTTTTGCATAACTATATAAACTGCAGATGATCTTGATTATGATGCCCGCAATGGGGAGGAGGGGAGGTTGGGCCTCCTTGGCTTGGGAGCGTACGCCGTTGTGGCAGCTCTTATCTCTGCGTGCCAACCTTGCTTTAGAAACCGTGGTCTTGTGCAGYTGGAGAAACACAAGCATTGGGTGAACCCACGGGCTTTCAAGATGGAAGGGACCCAGTCTTGCTCTTGAGAAGCAATTCCCTAAATAACYGTTTTGCTGGTAACTTCTTTGTTTTACTTGCAAGTGTGGAAGAGTAGGCTTTACAGTGCTCCTGGATGTATAGCTTGTTAAGAAGTTACCCAATAARCTTGTGTGTTCTGTGCTGCAAATACTTTCATAATTTATATTTTTTTCCATTCATCTTCCTCTGGATGGCATTCTCTGTGGCTCTTTATATGCTTCTGTGCTTTACATTTCTGTTGTATCTCATGTCTTTCAGTCTTTAACTGCTGTTTCCCAGGCCTGCGTGAGGTTTATAAATACTGTTGGTAGTAGGACTGTTTTTAACCAGTTTCTTTCTTTGAACGTGAGAGGGTTTTTTCCTTTTTTTTTTTTTTTTTTTTTTTCCCACCAGGGATACACTGGTGCTATGACTTGAAGATGGGTCTTGTAATTCCAGTGAGGTACCCTAATGCTCAATTAAATCGTTATGTCACTTGCTTTTGTAGCATCCTAATTTTCAGGGAATGTACCAGGGGTTTCTCACTAGCTGGATCACTTAAATTCCAAGCCCACTTTAAACAGCTGAAAAGAAGCTTTTAGCTTTCATCTTTAGCTTGACTATACCTGAACCTTTGTAATTCACAACCAAATCTGTGCTGTAGTGTATTAAGATGGAGAGATAAATGTGTTTGGGGTTAGTCTCTAAGTGAAAACGGCCTTTTTGGTCATTGAATGCCAAGTATGGCATTCAATGCCATATGGAGTTCCAGGTCTCCTGCAGGGAGCCTGGGCAGGAGCGTTTTCTTTCATTATTTTTATTTTTCAACTGGAGGAGCGCTCAAGGAGAGGCGCTCGAATGCTTGAGCAGTCGACCAAGTTGATGCTTTCTCTAAAACGGCTGTATTTAAGGTGAGATAATGTGATTTGTTAAAAAAAAAAAAAAAAATCTGTGTTTCACGGGAATTATTTCAGCAGAAAGTTAACTTGTGCTTCTGTTTTTAACTTTTGCTCTGTAAGATCCTTAGCTTTTGAGAAGTCTGCATGTATTCCCCAGTGCAGTAGTGTTGGCAGAAGCCAAATGGGTGCAAAGCGGCCGTTCCTGGTTCTTTTCCGTTTCAGAGGAAAACAGTAGTTGCCCTGAAAAGCCAGAATTGTGGAGGCTGGGATTCTGCTACCCAAGAAAAAACGYGTAGCCACTAAAGCTACGCATTTAGCTGATTACACATAAGCTAAAAATCCACCTTTGCTCTGTGCTTTGAGGTAGACCTGTATTGTGGGGATGTGCTTAAAAAGCAAACAAACAAAACCTTCCCTTATGCTGCTAGATCTTGCTAGGTTGATTTTATGCCATTGCTTTGCTTCTGTAACGGAGAAACCCCTGTTTATGCTAATTATAGAAATGCCCAAGCTATATCTAGACGAAGAATTGCACATTAMACAGTGTGCTCCATGTCCCAGCGTGTCACACAGAGGGCAGGATCATATGGCCTGACAACACATCTTCCAGCAAAGCTCTACCCAGTATCTTGAGAGATGGTCTCCCCRAGGAACCTCGTGTTTGAGGCAGTTGGCTGAAGGCCAAGGTAGTGTCGTACACTGGGACTGAAGCCTTAAGAAAACCTCTCCCCCAGTGGAGGAAGGAAGAGTTGTATAAATGCCTGTGTGCAACCTTGCTGCATCTGTCAGAACAGTGCATTGCTCAAGGTAGATAACTGTGTGCCCAGTAGCAAGGCAAGATTTTAATAAGCCGGAGTTTCTATTTGAGGTCAGGTACCGATTCCGGATAAGAGTTAATATCTCTGCCACCAAGTGGTGATTCATGGTCAGCCTGCCTTGCAGCTTCCCCATTTAGTCCTTTAAGACCATGTATTTCCCTTTGCAGATCCTGGTAATAAGGTGGAAGTGCAGCTCCGTGATTGGGAAGCGTTGTCCCACTGAAGGCCTCAGGGCTGTGGTCAAACCACAGGGTAGACGAGGTGGCTGTTGGGTTTACTGGATTTTACATGAAATGCCCTTAGTCCTTCTGTGTCTTATTGATTCTTTATTAACTGATCATTCAAATAGAACTGTGTGTACAGATTTCCCTATGTGCATTCAGAAAATAATATGCTGGGATTTCTTTTGTTGCTTTTCTAGCAGAGAATGAGGAAGAATATCTTAATAGTTTTCCACACAGTTGTGTTTTATTTTCCATCCACTTATTTTCCTGGTTCACTGAGGCCCAAYGTGCCATTCTGACAAGTCTATATTGAAATTTATTTGCATTTCTCCTTTGATACAATCTACTATAACAGCACTGTATTATATGACTTAATATATTTAGAAGGAATTAATTCCTCTTGCACCAAGGCAGGCAACAAAAATAGCAAAGGAGAGACACTTTCCGTTGCAGATGTTTAACACAGACCTCATAAACCAATGAGGTAGGTAATAATAAAGGTAAGAAGGATGAAACGGGAGAAAGCATCTAAAATGAGAGGGAGATGAAGACAAGGGTGGAGAAGAACAAATGCTACTGCTAAGATTCCTTTTCTGAGCCTTTGTGCTTAATGCCTTGTAAAACTTGGAACCACCCTGGCACATCCTTATCTGCTATCATCAAATATAGCCGGCCAAATATCTTTCATGTGGGATAATTTTCTTGCTGCAGTTCTTGCTGTAGGAGACTGGCATTCACATGTCAAATTCCCACTTTGTTAGAGGACATTTTGAAACAATTTTCTTGGGTAGAATCTTTACAATTTGTGATTGATGAGGCTGATGATCAGAAAAATCTTTGCTTTTCATGTTTTGGTTAGGCTTTGGCTACAAAGCTCACTTTTCAGATAGTTTATATTTGAATTAACTAAGTCTTCCATTTAGAAAATATTAAAATCTGAAGATAACATGCATTTTTTTAATAAGGTCTATTTTATTCCCTTCTGTTTCCCCATCCCTCAAACAACTCTGCTTCCAAAGTGCTTCCTGCTGAAATCCTGCCTGCATTTATCTTTTTCTGCTATCCAAACCCTTATAATTAGTGTAACCTTTATACCAGTTCATGTTTTCTGTCATCTTGCATTTTTGAGATGGTCATCTTGTTTATCTGGTTTCATAACCAGTATCTTTTTTCTCTCTCCCTATTGATCTTTAAGGTTTGACATTTTTTCATTGTTCTTTGTGTGTTGGAGGAGGTGGTTTGTCTTAATTTGTGCCTTTTAAAAAAGTCTGTGAATGTGACTCRAATGGGCTAGATGAATATTAGCAATGCTGACAGCGATGTGTGTGACATGAGAAAGTGAATAGCAGAAGAGGTGGTTCCACCTCCTCCTCCTTCTATTTTCTCATTGAAACTGAGAARGGATAAAAGGCAGATATGTGGAATAAGTTACATAAAACTAGTGGTGTTGGCCTTGCTTTGCTAGCAAACACCAGTGAAAAAAGCAAATGGCTTACACCAGTATTATCTAAAAACCCTCACCAGAAGCAGC